GTATAAAATATCTCTCTCTTAGGCATTTCTCAATCACTCATCGTACCATGTTTAAGTGCTAAATATATGTATTAGGCACACACATGCCCACCCACAAATGTGAGATACATATACATATCTGCTAGCTAGACATTCAATTAAATATGTATTGTAAAAGGCATAAGTGATTTCAAAGATTTGAAGACAACCGTGATGACAGTATATATTACTGTTAAATTCACCAAGGCACATCTGCAAAACAGACTAGGGACTTATCTGTAAATCTTCTCTAGGAAGCTGAAGGTAAACATTATTTGTTTGCCAGAACAGTGTGGAAAAAAATATTTATGATTTCGAGAAATAGTTAGTGAAACGTTTGCTAAGGGAGTAGCAGTACATTTGCTTTTTAAATGAATTCATCTCAAGTAATCAGGATTTAGTTAAATGGACTAATGCCACTGAACGTTTCAGTCTGTCATTTGGGTGTGAGCACTGGCACTCAGAGGATACCTTTTAAGCACAATACATTTATGAACTCATTTCTTTTTCCCCGAGGATTAAAAAAATAATTTTTATGCACAGTATCAGTGGCCTTCTTTAATAATTTCCTCACTGCCGCAGCTCACCTTTAGAAAAGATGGAGAGTTTAACCACATATGGTAAAAGTTTTAGCCCTGGGGGGTTTATTATAGCAATATTCCTTTTCAGTGCACTGTCCACCACAACGGGTCTTAACATTTCCTCACCAGGCAGACAGGCAGAGAAGCACAAAAATGAAACAAGCTATGTTTAGCAGAATTTTTACATACCATAATCTCTTTACCATGGTCAGGCAAGGCTGGAATTTTCAAGATGATCTCTTATGGCACAAATCCATTGCAGGACAGAGCTGATTTACAGCTTAGCACCATTCTCCACTCTTCACTGAGAGTAAGTTAAATGACCCAAGAATAACATTAATATGTACTATAACTAGATAGAACGGTGGTCTAAAGGGTGGTCTAAGGCATTATCTTTCACCCAAGGAAACTCAAGCTCATATATTGCCCAGAAATACTAATAAGGGTCAAGTATCATTACTATTTTAAGAGGTTGACAATGCAGTGAGTTATGGGGTATGATGGTGAAGCAGGGCTCTTCTCCTGCCTTCTATCAGCCCTCTTGTCTCCCCTCTGTTATGTTTTGAACAAATCTTGGCTAAATTCAGACTCATTGTTTTCCATACTCTTTCATGGCTAACCTGGTTTAAAAATACTTGCTGACAATTTGTTTTTCTTGGTTGGGCCAATATGCTTAAACTCAGCTGAGTCCCACAGTAAACTTTTTCTTCCTTGTCTCCCTTTCATTAGGGAAGTAATTTAGAATAAAAAAAAAAAAACAAAACCCACAAAAAACAATATGGAAGAAACTGAAGTGCAATTTTAAAATCAATTTAGGAGGGGCATGAAAATATTTTCCCAGTAAAAAGAAAGGCCTGACAAAACAGTAAATAGAAAAGTAAGATGTTGAAATTATTTTAAGACAGATGCCTTTTTAAACTGCATTAAGAACACCTATCATGGAGCCTGATTCCAGCAGCTCCTCACACAGGAGGTATTTTATCTTCACAACATCTGGCACTGTCAAGGAGGTACAGTTGTAGACCTTACCAGATGCAGACACTCCATACATAAAAGTACACTAACAAATCATACCATTAATAGCAGCACAACACAAGTGTTTCTTAAACATCCATGAAGAGAACTATTCCATGGTTATGGGAAAGCTTAAAGAAAAAAAAAAAAAAAAAAAAGCCACAAAAAACCCCAACAACCCTTAACAGAAATTTCTTGTAATTCTTAAAACAGAAAAATAACTCAGAGAGTTTTATTTTCAGCTTTTTTTTATAGATGACTGACAAGAAGGCTTTTTTTCTTCAGGGTGAAAAATTCCTTGTCCCATAAATCTGTGTGGATGACATATCTAGGTAAATTTGTATCCTTGCTCAAAGGGATCACTGGTTTTATTCTCTATGGATTTTTCACTCACTCTGTTGTGGAAAGTGAGTTGAGGCAGAGAAAAAATTGCTTGATATTTGAAGGAAGGTTTACATTATTTTATATCATCCACACTGCTCTGTTGTCACTTGGTTTCTTTTATGAACTGTTTAAAACATGATAGTATACTACATAAACCTTGCCCATTTTTGAATATGGAGTTTGTTCCACACCCGGAAAGTCGTGAGCTCAATATTCCTCTCACGTCCTCATCTGTTTGTTGGACATAACTATATTAATCCCCAAATAAAATATGAAGGCATTTGGAACTTATATATTATATTTATATGAAACACATGCTATGTTTCCTACTTTATGATTTTATTTATTTATTTATTTTTCAGTCAAGGTGTCTCTGACAGTCTCTAATATAAATGAGTAGTACTCTGTGTTTCAAGTAAGACACCCTTGAAATCAAATCTGAACATCAATGGCATTAAGGTAATTGCTAAAACCCAATAATTTAGTTTGCATATGCATCACTTGATCCTTCCCCTTTATATTTAACCATCAGTGATCAATAACCCACAGGACTCATCAGTACAATGAATAGGACTTACAAGAGAGACAGAACTTCTTTTTGTGATCTCTTTTTAATAAAAGGGTGGGGGCAAATAAAGCCCCCACCCTTTTATTAAATGGTTAAGTAAAATAAATAGGTCTCAGTGAAATAATCTTTTAATATCAAAGAGCTGCTCCATGTTTTGTACAATATTATCATAACAAAATGCACAGAACAGCAGCGAGCTGCAGTCCCAGTGAATTATTTTAGTATACATGATACCACTCTTCTCAAAGCTGGAGCCATAACATGTTGTCAGGACCGTGTTTTCTATTTCTGCTACACGCTTTAAAATTTAATTTTCTCCAAAACGTGCAGTGCTCCTTGGAACTGAAGTGATTTTAAGTGCCTGTGCTGTGTTATGACAGCGGTGACGGTGGCGGTGCACGCTTGGCAGAGGGATTAGGTATGGGTCAAATGTTTAACCATCTGGATTTGCCATGAGAAAAACCTTATTTTTGATACCTCTGCTTAGACTGAGTGGAAAGCGATTCCTCCTTCGCCCTTTCCAAACTTTTCCTTGCCCTGCGCGGGCTGGCGTGGCCGTGGAGCCGCACTTCTCCTACCACCCTGTGGCAATGGCATGCCATGACACACGGCAGCTCAGCCCGCTGCTGCCAGCGACACAGAGATTTGTCTGCTGGTGATTAATTCTAGGAACAATTAACTTCCTTTCCTTTTTTTTTTTTTTTTTTTTTTTTATTTATTTTTTTTAACCTCAATGCAAATAATACACGTGTAGGTGCAGAGTGATGAGAGCAAATCTGTAAAAGAGATTACTACTGCTAAACTCTTCTGGATGTGTAACTCAAACGATATTAAAATAACTCTTAAATGCTGAGAGGGATAGACTCTGGTTCTGTGTCTGAACTATTTGTGTATTACACAGATAGAAGATCTTAAAGAAACTATCTGGGCAGTACTTTAGACACAATTTGCTTACTTAACGTATCAGGAGACGATGAATGCAAGAAGTTATCTTGATCAAAAAGAGAAAGGTTAATACAATTAAAATTTTCTCACTGCATGCACATTTCACAAATTCTCTGCATTTTATATGTAGCAGATGGTGTTCAAACGAATCAAGAAGCTAAAGCTAAAAAAACCACCCTGATGCAGAAACTCATATATTTCTTCAAACGATAAGATGAACTGCAGATGTTTGTTGAAGAGTACTGCTGACGCAGGCGACCTAAGAAGCGAAGGCTTAAAAAGAAGAGTCCAGTTGTGTTTAGCACTGGCCAACCACTCTAGCTGTCACTGCATGATTTATGAAGCTTGCTTGCTCGATTTTATGTCGACAGAGAAATTGTGATTAAAAAAACCCTGAGCAGTTATCTATGCTAACAGGGAACGTGGCAAAACTCTAGCTGCAGCATACCTTACACCCCTCTTGCAAGTTTAGCTCTTCTGAGCAGACAAAGATATTTAAGCAGCATAACTCACTTCCATCAATCTTTCAGAGTTTTGACCAACGTGCTTTCATGCTTCTGCATTTTGTCCACATGGTTCTTGGTAGTGCTGCTAGAATACTGTGCTTATCTGACACCTGCAGTCAAATTAATCCCAAGTTAAGCCTGACAAAGTCACTAAAAGGAAAACAGTTGTCTGTTTAAGAACTTGGGAATCAGACACAAAACCAGCTGCTTGATACGTGCTTAAAAATCATTAGCAAGCATTTAAAAATTAATTTCAAGATTATGCTTGATAACATTTACAAAACCTACAATTAACTCAGTGTTTTACTGGGACAAAGTCGCACCCTTATGTGTCAGTGTTTCCACACAGAAAATCACATGTTTCTTAGGACCTGTTGCAACTTGGCTGTAAATATTTACTTTAGACAGCAGTTTAGTAGTACACAAGGTTACAGCTCAAAAGCAAATATTTCATACCAGGTCTCAAATATATGGATTTTCCCATTTGTAAATGATTCAGGCAGCCTTTCCCCTCCCTTAGAACTGCTAACTCAATCTATAAACATAAATACAGCATTTCAGAGGAGAAAGGATACAAATCACATATCAGTACAGTAGTCCTCAGGGAGTTTATTATGGGGTAATTGGACCAAAGCAGGACCAACTTCTGACCTGATTTACAGTCTCAACAAAACTATTGACATCAGCAGAGGTCTAAGGCAAGGAAGAATTTGGCTTTGAGGGGTGGGAAAATTTTTAAATTACTCCAGCTTAGCCTCCTTAGGCTAACTTCTGCTCAGAAGAGGCACCATTTTATAAATGTGATTTGCAAGCAACTCAACTTGCTGCCTGTGCATGGGTGTAACTCAGAGCAAGGCTTTGCCTCCCCAGCAATGCTTACTCATCAATTCTGAATTTGGCTTCTCCAAACAATTATACCCCTCTTCAGATATTGCATAACATCACTGAGCATGTGTGGTTTTCTTATATAATTCCTAGTTGCAAAGCAGAGCTCCAGGCTAGAAGCCAAGTCACACAGGGTATGAGCAGCTTCAGAAATAACCACCATTCAGGTTTGTTTACTGCAAGGAGCTCTCGAAGGAAACCATCAAATTTAGGAAAACTAAGTAAGTAACCAGCTTGTGTCAGTGCAGTTTTGTTGAATCCTTCCTAGGATTGCTCATGTTCCTGTGGGTTAGGAAGAGGGTGTGGGGACAGGTTGGTGTGGCTGCTGGGATGGAACCAGCAGCAGAGATGAGGGGCAGCACCATGCCCATGTAACAGTGAAAAGGCATTTTGTAAGGTTTGCACAGGAATTTTGCACTGTCAATGGACGTTCACTCAGCTACAGCTGGAACTGGAAGTGACCCAGAATAAGTGTTTAACAGGTCATGGCAAATTGCTTGGAGATTTCAATGCATGTGACCATGTAATTATATCATACGTATCTTCTAAATCACTGGTTTTGTGGTCCCAAAATCGTTACCAGAGACTAAAGGGCAGCAGTGTCTTCATCTCAGGGTTGATATGAGGTAACAAGGGGTGTAAGGTCTCTGTTTCAGATTAGCATGTGGGTCAATGTCTCTGAACTTGCAGCTAGAATTTTTCTCATTTATTTTTGTGTCTTAGTTGGTATTTCTTCCACTAGCTGCTCTGCTTCTGTGATTTTCACTGAATTTACCGTGGAAACAAACACTGGCAGTTGAGTCTGAGTCAGATTGTGGTTCTGCCAGCCACGGAGTTTATGAATGTGCCTCATGACTCAGTTTTCTGCAGTTTCTTGAGCAGTGTGCAATCAGAAATAAAAGAGATGTTTACAGGGTAGTTATGGTTATTGTCAAACACAGGAAATATTTGCAAACATGCCTTAAAATTTCAGGGAAGGTGCCTGGATATACTCTATGGGTGGGCTGTGTCTGTCTGTCTGTCTGTAACCACTACACAAGAGAACAGATTTATACTTGTCTTCTTTGGGTGCTCTGGGAACCATTGGCTGCTGGACTGGCTGCAGAGAATTAAATCTGGAGTGCAATGGGACTTTCCTACCTGCTTTATGATAGATGTTACATCCAGTTACATGCCAAAATTAACTCGAAAAGATGCTGCATAGGACAGGATTGGAATCTCTGCCATGTGCACTTACACTCTTGCCTGCCTGGAGATTTTCCTTTGCTTGAGTGTGTCCACCTGGGAATATATTTGTGCCTCATCCTCCACCTCCTCAGGGCAAAAGATGTCTTTTAGCTTTCTGCTTGCATAGGACTTCAGAAAAAAGGGGCATTGGTCCAGTTAGAAGTAGACCCCTCAGTTTTCCCAGGGATATGGGTGATGTTATTGCCAGGACATCTCCTGTACCAGACAGGTATAAAACTCACCTCCAGAGAATGCAAAATATACAAAAGTGCCTTAGATATGGCTACAGCTTCCAGTACACTTTCCCCTTTCCATCTTTCTTTGCTGAAGGATGCTATGCCAAGCTGCTTTCCTGCCTGAGACAGTGTGATGAACACTTGTCTTCCACTTACTTCTGTGGGACATGCACGAGGCAGAATCTGATTTTACAAGCTCTTACCATCCTTGGTAATGTCATTCCTTTGATAAGGCACAATATTATTTATATACCTTTCTGCATTTCACATGTCATTAGATCTTTGATCATGAAAAGCCATAAATATAAATAAAGTATTATACTATCCCAGCAAGCTGCAAAAGCATCTGTTTAGTGCTTGCAGAACAAACAATGCTGTGAAATCATTGTTGGCAATGCCTGTGTTATTCTTGCTCCTGATAAATGCACTATTGAAGTAAACCAGCTCTCTCAGCATTAATGATCATTTGATTAAAGAAAACTTTCTAGTTAACATTTTGTAACAATGTAATAAGTAACTTTCAATTAAATTTTTCTATATGTGGGGAAAATGTGTAATGAATAAATCAGTAAAGACCACATAATGGAAGCCTATTAGCAGGGTGAATATATTCTTGTAACTCAAATTTCTATACCACTTTAGTATTATCTTCTATCAGAAGAGAAGGTACAATTACCAATTTTATCTTATCTTAGACTTATTATTAAAGAGTAGTAAAGGAAACTTCATTCCAGAAGCTATAATGTGATTTTTGATTAATGGTGGGGTTTTTATGTGACAAGAATATTTCTCCTAGGCAAAGCAGGCACTTGTATCTTTGCCTGAACTGACTTGTTTCTGGCAGGCCTTTCACTGACAGAAAGTTTTTCTTCTCTATAGACACATGTATTTTTCTGCATGTATAGCAGATCTAGGTGTACAAGATCTAATTCAATCTGAACTTGATCTATGCTACATGAAAGGAGTTAAGCCTTTACCTCCCATTTTAATCCATTTAACAAGTCTCACTAAGCAATAAACACCTTCCACTTTATCTTATGAAATGTCAAAGCTGTAAAGTGAAAGGTTACAAATATGAGCAAAATTCATCACCACTTGAAGCGTTGCAAGTAGGTCTCACACTTGTAGGTAGGTGCAATGGTTATGGCTACTGGAAGCTACATGTAAATAGTGATGGCCAAGGGGGTGTCCAAGAAATTATTTGAAACACGTGGAAAAGGGAATCTATCCAAGACTTGCAACTGCTTTACTACTTTCATCTAGACTTGTTTTTCCTAGATTCTCCTTAGTTTCAAATTGCATAAATATTACTCTGATTTCCCTTTCAATATCTATGTTTTCCCTGCTCTTGCATCTTCTTTCATATAAATGCACATAAATAAATTTACATACATGCATAGATATATGTGCTTATGTCAATTGTCCTGGTTTTATCTGAGATAAAGTTTTTCTTCCTAGTAGCTAGTATAGGCCTGTGTTTTGGATTTAGCATGAGAACAATGTTGATAACTCACTGATGTTTCATTGCTGAGTAATGTTTATACCAAACTATTCTCTCCTCCATCCTGCTGTGTGGTGCTTAGTTGCTGGCTGGGGTTAAAACAACATTAATATATAAATATACCCTCATATATATTCTTTATTCTTGCATATGGGCAGATATTTAGGTGATAACTCCAGGCTGACTTATGTCTGACAAGTCCACTAATAAACTGGCCCTGACTGGCATATTCTTTTTCGTTTCTCTTCCAATTTTTAAATATCTATTCCCAATATAAATTTCATAGGTCACTGAAAATGCACAGTGCCCTGATGCATGGTGCTGCTGTATTGAATAGAAGGTTTGCTTCAAATTCTATACAATTCAGTGGACATTATTTCAGGGAAAATAAGTGTTTGTGTCAGATGAGGCATACATGCAATTCACAGAATCCTTTAAATTGTTCAAAATGGGTGTTTTTACTGATCCCTTTAAATACCAATGGGTTCCTTTGGAGTGGGACTTCTAAACAGTTTTAACAAGCTGGTTTTTTACCCTCCCTTGAAAATAAAGAGGCAATCAGAGTCATGTTCACACTCTTCATTCAATAAATGCTGGAAGAGTCAAAACCATTAAGCCTTTGCAACCAAATGTCTGTTTCTGCCAAACTGTATGGAAGCAATATCTTTTGGGGTTGTACCCAAATTGGCTAAGTGAACATGGCCAGCAGCGTTTCAACATCTGTGTTCCTGCACATAAACCCTCTGGTGATTCACTGGCTGCTCCTGCTGCGTTCTCCACGGTATCTGTAAATATGCACAACATATGAAACACCTCTGTAAAGGCTCTTCCAGCTTGGAGGCCTTCTTCTGCCACAAAACCCCCCTGCTGTTGATTCAGGTACAAATGGGCCACCGGTTTATTTTCCAGGGTAACCACAGCACTTATGAACTCCATTCAAGTTTGCAGCAACACTGTGGACTCAGTGCAGATTTTATCCATCCCTTTCAAAACTAGAAGAAAAAAAAAAAAAAAGGCCTTTCAATTAACCTCACATTAGTACAAGAAAGATGATGTCATAATTTTAAATGCGTATTATCTTGCATGAAATATAATGCCTGTGCAGAATAATTTCCAGTTTCCCCTGCCGCTAGTCTCTGAACAAATACAAACAAAAAAACAGTAGCAGGTCAGAGCCCCCATAATTTATTCATTTTCCCTTCCACTGAAATATTTTACAGTCCTCCATTTATTTGCAATTTTTTGTTCTAAAGCAGAAATCCCCTCGAGATCTGGCATCTTGTTTGCAAGAGCGTCTGCAGGGAAAACAAGGCTGATGGCAGCTGCGAGAACAAAAAGGCTAAAATGAAATGGGATATGACATCTTCAGTTGTTGCATGGATGTCTGCAAAGAGATTTAATGAGAGGCACTCGTTTTTACTGTAAAACCTCACAAAGGGTTTTTCATCATGCAGTGCTTGCTCCTGTGCCCCTGTTGTTTTGGCCCCTGTTTTTCCCATTCTGCCCTTTGGGTTATGCCTCTGCCCCACCCCTGGTGTCTGCCCTGCTGGTGATCCAAGCTGATGAACTGTGATTCTGAGCAATACCCAGGCAAGATAGGTATCCCCTCAGTCACAGGCATGAATCACACAGAGGGCAGGCCTTTTCTCCTCTCTGGGTTTCATGGGGGAAGGGGAGCAATGATTATGATCTTTTAATTAACACTGCATTTAACATAGCACGAAACAAAGGTGTTTGTTCTTGGGCTGGCAAAACAGACTCCGAATCAAACCTGAGATAATGGAACTTTTAGACTTGGAGTTTGGGACAAAGGAACATGCAGTGGGGTCATATTGCTCAAAGTCCCTGCACAGGGGATTGCAACACAAAGGAAAGGGTTTAGACACCAGTAACAAATGCTACTGAGCTTCACTGCTCACATGGTAACCCAGGAACAAGACCTTGCCACCTGCAATTTCACAGAATATCTTTGCCAAAAGAATCATCTTCAAAAAAATGAGGACCCACAGCCCCTTGCAACTTTCCAATGTCTTATTCTGCTCTTACCTTCATTAATGTTCAGATTTTCAACAAACTGTGGAATGGATATGAATCCTGAGGTTCCTTTTGCTCTGTTTTGAGGCATTGTTAGTGTGAATTGACAAGTCTGGTAATGGTGGGCATGGTCCAGCCAGGTTATTCAAAGCCGTTTCACTGAATTAAAACTTGAAACGGTTCCTGTTATATTGAGCAAAATGCAGATTCTGGGGACATTCCT